CATGGAGACATGCAGGCCATGCGACAGGCAAGTGTTGGACATGTGAAATTCAAAGCATCAAAATAACATTTGGCTTCAAACAGCGAACAAACGGCATTCCGTATTTTCGCAAGGCATTATTGGAAGCAAGCGATAAAACACAATTCGCTCGCGAACAGTAAGCTTATCGCTTGTGCCAAAATGGTTTGAACCCAAAAGCACAGCCTGAACAAAAGACCCTGGCAAAGCACGCACCCTTACAGTTCCGTACCTCCCTTCTTTTCATCAGTGGGCGATTCAAGGATCATTATCGAAAGGTCGATGCACACCGTGCCAGTGCATACGCCTAGCAGAGGGCACACACATCCCTAACTGCAAGACACTTCAAATCCCCCTTTTAACCGAACGATTGTGGTGGACACCGTCGAGTGCAAGGCAGCTTGGAGCCCAGATCCAAGACATTCGCCACCCCACACGTATGTTACGAGTAGTTGAGGCAACCACGCTGTTCTTCCTTCAAGGCACTTATCTCGACCGACGAAGTACCAGGCCAGAGGCACGGCCTCGCAATCACCCTGGTCAATCCTCCTTACAGGTGTGGCCTTATGACCGACCCACGCAGTGTGCACAGACCGTAACCACGCGAGGTCACACGGACAATTGCGCGACCACCCGGCGTGAGCATGGGGTGAGGAAACACAGCTGCAATTCCTTTGCCCATCCCCCATGTCAAGGTCGCTAGCATCGTAGCGGAGCACGACTTGTTGGTCATCGGGGAGATCTCCACACATTGGTGCCGAGATGGGCGTAGTCCGGGTCATACACAAGGCTTCCGTACCAAGACACTATTAGGAATAGGGCCAGGGTGCCCTCACTGCTCACCCTTTATGTCTGAGGCCCAAGCCCCAGGCACAGCCCGGTCCCGCCATTTCATAAGGTAACTAAGACAACGGGCGCCGCCTTGCCCGCCCATCAAGGGGTGTGTGGGTCACAGGGTACTACCCTTAAGACTGGACCACCATGCCATTCGAGATTGCTACCAGGATAGCCCTTTCCCCGGCGAGAAATTTCCAAGGCGCCCAGGACCGCACTGTGGGCTCCATAAACAATGTTCTGCCAGCGCTCTTGTCAGCATCACTAAAGGATGGCGTATCTGCATTCCGTAGGCCATAAGACTCAGGGGAGGAGTTTGGCCGGGCAACTACCACAAACCAAGGTTGTGCATGAACTGAAATCGATGAAAACCCATTTCAGTCAAAGTGAGCTGAAGAACTCAAAACATTGGTCATCACACAGCACAACACAAACATAGCCTCCAGCGTGGCGGAACCCCCCCCCCCTCCCACTGGACTAGAGGGGGGGAGTGAACGAGCCAGCTCTATCGTCAGTCGTACTTCCACACCTTCCCGGGAGCCGACTCGTGTTCTGAGCCGGGGCTCAAAGTTGACATGGCCTCGAATCGATTGGCCGAATACCACCTCCCCCCCCCTCACGGGCTCTCGGGAGGCGTCTCACATCCGCACCAGCCGGTACCATATATGCAAACCAACTTTGTCAGTACGGACACGCAGAAGACAAAGTTCAGGGCAGAGAACGGCCCTCGAAACAGACTCCAGGCCTTGACACTCAAGGACTCGTGGCACACTGAACCTGATCCTGCGGCATCACGAAGGACACAACGTATCCCAGCTTTCACCAGGTCGCACACCTGAAATTCCACCGTCCATGCATCCATTGCAAAGAGAGCAAAAAGGGGGGGGCGACCAAGCCGGGCGAATCGCGAGGAGATAGGCTGAGTAGACGAGTCGAGTATCAACCGCATGACAAGACTCAGGAAGGGCCCGTCCGACGTCAGGTCAGCGGGACCCGCGTGGCAATTCGAACTAGGCACAGGGAAACCCGGCCATGGGCAATCTCACACGGCACAGGGAGATTCAGTCCTGCATCAGGTCAGAAGGCCGGAGGCCACTACCCGTGCCCCCCCCCCCGAGGTTTAAGATCTGGCGAAAGCACACCAGGCGTTCGGTCCACTAGTCCCGCAGGCTACCCAAAACAGGCCCAAGGAGACCAACCATGCATCAGGTCAAAAGGACAGACGTACGGGCGCCTAGCCAAACCAACTGTTCACAAACCTCGGGCGCACATCGGCAACCCAAACCTCGGGCGCACACCGGCCACCACACAAGGTAACCGGAAACAGCAGCCACCACTGCTGTGCCGAAAGCAGCAGCCACCACAGTTGTGCCAACAAGACCGCAAAATAGCAGCCACCGCAGTTGCAAACCAAAACCACCGAACCTCCAACAGCAGCCACCACAGCTGCGCGAACCAAACCACAAAACCTCCCCCCACTTAACCGCGCAGAGCATTTTGGCAGCGCAGAACCAACTGACCAGCAGGGTCAGTGGGGAAAGCTGAGACAGGGAATTCAGCGTCACGGGCCCACGGACAGGGCACAGTATGCAAGGGGGCCCTGTCAGTGCACCACACTTGGCGAGTCATTGCAGGTGCTTGCAAGACCATGTCCAACGTCCTGTCTTGACAGACAGGGTAACAACCTGGGAGCGGGTCGTGAGCGTCAGCGGGCGAAGCCGACGCCATAGCGGCCAGACCAAAGGGGCTCGTGAGCGTCAGCGGGCGAAGCCGACGCCATAGCGGCCAGACCAAAGGGGGCTCAGCGAGTAAGACTCAAACACACTAAATGGCTCGCACGCGACACAAGCCCAGCAGCTGCCACGTTTAGGAGGTCGGCACAGGCGTCGGCAGACGTTGTGCAAGTCCGCTCTAGGGCCCTTCATTGGGACAGCTACATGGCCCCAGCCACGTGCAAGGAGCCACTCATACATTACACAGACTGCATGGGCATAAGATGACTCGTCTGAAGGCCAGGCCCAGTGACCCAGCATTCGTCGCGGACCTTAAAGCAATGACTATGGCTTGCGACAGCCAAAGCACGTGGCCACGCGAGGCGAGCCACACCAAGGGCTTTCGCTTTCGATGATCACGCCGTAAGTTATGTGATCGGTTCCCTCGGCTGTTAAAACCACAGTGTTGTGCATGTTCCGTGTGTGGTGCAGCAGAATGCAGGCAAGGTCACGGGTTTGCTGCACCCTAGGGGAGGGGGTCAGGTGACCCCCGGGCTCGTTGCACCCAACCCCCCCCCTTCCAGAACACCTTTGCCAATCAGATGCTGCCCTGACCTAAGCACCAATGCACCGCCTTGCGGTGTGGTACGGATGAGCGGCATCCAACCACGAAACGAAGGGTACCAAACTACACTCGCCCACCAGGGCCAGGAGGCGCAACGCTTCCGCACATGCAAGCAAAGTCTGCAGGAGGAGCACTAGATTAGAGCACGGGGATTCCACCGACCACAGGATAATCGGGCGAAACACGGAAGCACCCCTGCGGGGCCGTTGGAGCATCACTGCTGGGTCTCGGGCAAGACCACTCGCGGCCACAGATGCGACCGTCCAGCGAGACCATGAATGAGTGATCGTCTAAACAGGCTTAGATATGTCTCTTGGTGGATGGCGCGTCATTGGAATTGCGAAGCTCGGCTGTAGGCAGGGACTAGCACTGGGTGCACCAAGGGGTTGGCATCATGGTGCATAACACCGCGCCTCTGCTTGTTTCCACCACTGACAAATTGGCCACTGGAGCAGGAAGGTGGACCTGAGTTTGGAAGGCGGGGCGGTGCGCCCAACACATGGCTTGCGTCACAAGGGTCTGCAGGTGGACGTTCATCACGTTGACCAGGATGCAGGGTCGCCTCGGACACAACAGACATGGCATGCACAACCACTCTAGACAGCATGATATTGCTTGTCAATCCGCATGGCTCTACAGGCATGTTTCCACAAGGAGGCTACCAAACATCACAAGCATTCATTGGTTACAGAAAGGCATGCACACATGACCACGGCTTTGAGCCTGCATCCTTGCATAAACATCAATAGTCCAATGGACATATTTGGCACCATGGCCATGTTGTATGACAGCCCCTTGGCTCATACAAAGGCACCATGTGCCATTTCATGAGACCCTCATAGCCCCTTGGCTGAGCAAACATTGCTCGTCTCATGAACTTGCAACATACAATACATGTGTGAGCACAAGCTCATGTCTTTTTCTTGCTTAGCAAACCGCATCCTCATCATTGGTTCGGGTCAGCCATGCTTTCATGGCAACATTGCGACGGTCATCTGATATGGGTTGCAGATTTTGCAAACACATTTGCAACGCGTCTGCACCACCAGCTTGGCTTTGCCTGTGTTTCGAGGCAACAGCATGATGACCATCGGATATGGGTTGCAGACATGCAAAACACAGCTGCAATGTTCACGGCTCATGAACAAGGCCCCGTAACGTGATCGCGCGTCAAAGCGGAAAGACAACTGCGGGCATCGAAGTTATGAGCACGGAGAAACATTTGGAGCCGCTCACTAGCGGAGGGACCCACTAGCCTTGTTATGCGGGCCCAGTAGGAAGCCATTTTACGCGGCCCCAAAAGAACCGCTTGGGGCACCGGGATGCAGCAATTGGCATCAAGGATGATGAGGGTGAATCCCTCTCCCACCAAGTTGTTGCGCACCTGCTGCAGGGAAACCTCATCATGGAAGTCGAAACCTGGTGGGACTCTGAGGCCCCACTGTTTCTGTCCAAGGTCCCGGCATTTGATACCAGCAAGAGTGGCCTGAAGCACAACCCGACAACATTGGAAAGCCAGAGAAGTGCATGCTGCGGGAGGCAGAGCGGGGCCTTCCAACAAAGCGGTCAACGGGATCGCGCGTTCCGCAACAACATAATGGGCCTGGCACAAGCCTTTCTCCCCCAGGGACACCCAAATGGAGCCTTTGTCGAAGATGCGAGCAAAGGCCGCAGGGCACGCAGTAGCACTTCGAACTTCATTGACATTGTCGGCGTCACATCCAGCGAGCTTTAGCACCAGATTGGCAGCTGGCTTTTCACCCCTCAGATGGTACACCTTCCGGAACCCACCTTTGAGCTCGGGCGCCCTGCTAGCCCAAAACCGACAAGTTTTGCCCATCCACCTCCATGGCGAGACGAAGGTCATCCGGGAACATGTCTTTGCCTGTCAAAAATCCTGAAGCACGCAGGAGCTTTATCGAGGGCCACGCCTTCGCCTCACTGGACGATGGACCTTGACTGGCTTCTTGACCTGGGGCAGGAGGAATGGCGGGACCACTGCGCTGATTGGCCAAGCAATTTCCGCAAATGTCAAAGTCGCAGACCCTGCACCCCCACAGCAAGCGCCGCGTGGCAAACTCCCTCTTGCACACGCTGCACCACCAGTTTGGCTCAGGCGAACCAAAGGAAAGCAACGGGTGACCTGAAGGACACGTTGGCCGGGCATCAAGTCTGGCCAGAAATGCCTCCGCATTCTCCGGAGTGAGCGTGACTCCCTCGCCAGATGTGGCTGAGTCACTTGATCGGCTAACGTCCTCGGGCTCAAGCCTTTTCCGCTTAGGAGTCGGCGGACGAGGAGGCAGTGGCCGACCACCGGGCAGCAGGGCTTCAGATGTGCCGAACACGCTCTCCAGAACCAAGGCAGCAGCTTCCTCGGCACAAGGAGAAGCTGTGGCTTGCTTGGGGAAACATTCGGTCCGCCGAGGAATGGAGCCTGGACCGGTAAAGACAGGCCTCGAACTCATGGGGGCTACTACTTGCTGCAGTCCATGCGCTGACACCTTTCTGGGCACATCAAGGACACCTGCTGAACCCATGAAAACCCGCCTTGGCCCTGGTCGGACTTCGTCACTCATGGCGCGAGCGGGCACAACTTGAACGGAAGGCCCCGACACAGCTGGACCTTTGTGCGAGGAGCATTTTGAGCTGAGCCCACCGATTTGTGACGGGCGAAGGGATGGCGCGCGGCTAGTACCGGCAGGGACCTCGAGCCGTGAGTGGGTAGCCTGTTTTGCGGACGTGACATAACCACAAGGGGAAAGGTATTTGGGCTCCGGGCTGGTCCCACCAGCATTTGACACAGCGGTTTTGGCTTCAACCCCAAAGTCACTGGTCCGAGGGCTGCAGGGAACAGGAACTGGCTTGCCATGGGCATCATGACGCATATCAAAGTCCAGCTGCACCTCGGGATACGGCACACTCACAGTTTCAGCATCCGAACTACTATGTGCAGGGCTACCATCCTCCCGCAGATGATCAAGTTGTCTGGCGTCACAAACCGATGGGACGCTGCGGCCACCAAGTTCGGACTCAACCCCATGGGGCGCCCCTTCCTTCGTAGGCATCGAGCTTGAGGAAGCTTCAGAAACCCCCGGACAAGTGGGTGACTTATCCCTCACAACGCCAGCACGACACGCTGTGTGCTCAAGCTCCCCCAAAGGCCCAAGGCATGACGTCACTGCTTGGCTGTAGCGGGGCACACATGGCTGGGCATGCATTCAGCTCATCAGGCCTGGGCGGCCGTACGGCGGGTTCAGCAGGAGAGCACGATTCATCAGCCTAGCTTCGGTCGTACATGTTGCATCCCTATGCTGAACGGAAGGAACGGACCCCAAGCGGACACTATCATCTAAGGATTGGCCATCAGGTTTCTCAGGCACCAAATCTTCGGCTTCACTCCCACGTAGCGCTGCACCAGACTGTGCTGTGAGGGTGGAGCCAACATTGACACGGAACCCTGCTGGACCATAAACAGGCGCACAAAGCCCAGATCCCGAGGCCATGGATTGGCCATCAGGTTTCTCAGACGCCAAATCAACGGGATCACTCCCACGCAGCGCATCAAAAGACTGTGATGACTGGGCACTTCCTATTCCCACAGGGCATCGGAAGCCTGGCAGCTAGGCTCACCAAGCTCAGATCTCACAGCCTCTGAGGTTTGGATGCCACGCTTACTGTCTGCCGGCTCATCTCCTTTAGTGGCATTTTCCCCCCTTTTGACCGCTAGAGACGGCCCGGGGAGCCCCTTCCTGAAGCGCTTGACTACACACACCGGGTTGATGCCGGGGGGTGTCAGGGCGGTGGGGGGCGCAGTGGTGGCAGGGGGCTCAGGAGACGCCATCACCTGTCGTAGACTGCCAGGTACCAAGCAATGACACAGTGTGCGCACCAGTGGTGATTGTGGTTGATGCGGTGCCTTATGCAACCGTTACGGCCACACTGCTGACAGAGTTGCTGACAGGCCGGAATCGCAGGATCCTGCTCGACAAGCGGCTCTGACGCCGCACGGCGTCCACACGTGGAGCCCATGGAAGCTAGCAAAGGCTAATGGCCAACAGAAGGACAGCCACACCCAGGCAGAAGCCGGAACAAAAACACGCGCAGGGGCGCGTGGTAGGAGCCGCCGGTCCAGAGGCGCCCAAACACACAGGCGATTTGATCGCCGCTTGCCCACGGAGGCGAGCTCCCATCCACTGCCTGCTTCACGCAGGCAGCTTGCACAGGGCCTAAGGCCAAGGTTAGAAGCCGGGCCTGTTTGAAGCAGGACCTGTTAGAGCCCAAGACCCGGTTTGACAAATTTTTCGCACGTGCAATGAGCCAGTGCTGCACTTCAAGGAACACACATAAGACAGCCATAGCACCCGTAATGTTGCATCCAAGTATCATGGCAGGTTGCTTACCAAGGCACATCACAACAGTTGTCGACAGTCATCACAACTCTGCATTCGCTGACGATGGAGACATGCAGGCCATGCGACAGGCAAGTGTTGGACATGTGAAATTCAAAGCATCAAAATAACATTTGGCTTCAAACAGCGAACAAACGGCATTCCGTATTTTCGCAAGGCATTATTGGAAGCAAGCGATAAAACACAATTCGCTCGCGAACAGTAAGCATCTCGCGCTTTTTACTCGGGGCCCACAGACAAGCGCTCAAAGCGGAAAACTGAGAACCACGACCTCCGCAGGCAGCTTTCTTGTGGAAGTGAGCGATCTGGTCAACATGAGAGAAACGTGCACAGGGGAGGCCCACGCACGCGAAGCCAGAATTGTTGAGATTTTTCGACCCCAGATTTGGACTTGCGCAAACTGGCAACTTTTGCAAACATGTGTACGCGATATTGCAAGGCCTCTGAGGCCTCACCCTGCGGGGTTCGAGGCCTTCCGAGGCCTCCCCAAACCTTACTCATGGGGTTTCGAGGCCTCACTCATGGGGTTTCGAGGCCTTTCGAGGCCTGGCGAGGCCTCCACAAAATCCCAAAACCCCTTTAGCTCGAAAGATTACGAGGCCTCGGGGACCGGGGCTTATAATACTATTAAAGGGGTCCCCGCAAAGCCTCGAGCCCGGACGAACCCTGGTTGTCTCTCTTCTTTCCCGTGAAAAGAATTTTAAGCCGCAGCTGGCTCCAAGTCCTCTTCATTCTCACTCTATTCAAAACATCACGACGGACCTCGAAGGGGCCTCGACCGCTTAAGATGATCCTGCAAAAGCTATTCTTGCTGCCGCAAGCTTTAACTTCAGACTTCTCGACGGGCCTCAAATAAGTCCTCGATGATCCTGAGCTTTCAAAGATTTCGACGGGCACGCGAAAGTCCTGAGAGAAGTACTCTGCGTGACATTGCAAGCTGATGTCGGTCTCCAGCGGGCAAGCAAACAAAATCACGCCCTGTTCAACTGGAGGAGGCCTCGGACCGGCCTCCAAAGGCTTGGAAGCCTTCAGCAAAGTCTGAGGCTCGAAGATGATGTTGCGTGTAAGCCAAGTGAACGCTCCCAACCACTTAAACCTCAACGTGCACTTCAATGGAGAAGACGAACTGACGTTCACAAGGCTTTCGCTGGCATCGGCCTTTCCCTATATCTTCTTCTTCGTTGGGCGCGTGGCAACTTAAGCTCCGGGCAGGCGCAACACGCTTCAATACCTCCACCGTCCAAACCCAAGCCCGCCACAAGTTCTGATTTCTGTAATGTCTAGCAGGCGACCTCTCTCTGCGCAACCACAGAAAACGTTGAAGCCACGTTGGTCAACTTCCCAGAGCTTGAAGCGTGACTCCTTTTCAAAAACAACAACGACCTGCAGCTCAGCGCCAGGACGAAGCTGTCGGGCGATCCCACTTTCAAGCCCGCAAAACACAAGCAATTCTGGCTTCGCCAGCATGGGCCTCCGCAGTTGCAGTTCTGCCTCACTGCAACATTATAAAGACGCGCACGCTGCTGCTTCGGACCAGCCCCCCCGTGCCCCGTGCGCTCACCACGACGCTGCCCAAAGTTACTGGAACAAGGGCAGGGGCAGCCAACGAGAGCCGGTTGCACGGGCGCAAATTCGGGGCCAATAAACGGGGCCGTCTCGCGGCCCCAAAAATGGGGCCGCGAAATGGGCCCAGAGTTCCTGCAGTACAACTTGGAACTAAATACGGGGGTTGTGAAACCGCGACCCCAAAATTGAGTCCGCCTGGCGGCCCCAATTTTGGGGCCGCGAATTCTTCTATTTTTAGGCTCAATCTCGCGCTTTTTACTCGGGGCCCACAGACAAGCGCTCAAAGCGGAAAACTGAGAACCACGACCTCCGCAGGCAGCTTTCTTGTGGAAGTGAGCGATCTGGTCAACATGAGAGAAACGTGCACAGGGGAGGCCCACGCACGCGAAGCCAGAATTGTTGAGATTTTTCGACCCCAGATTTGGACTTGCGCAAACTGGCAACTTTTGCAAACATGTGTACGCGATATTGCAAGGCCTCTGAGGCCTCACCCTGCGGGGTTCGAGGCCTTCCGAGGCCTCCCCAAACCTTACTCATGGGGTTTCGAGGCCTCACTCATGGGGTTTCGAGGCCTTTCGAGGCCTCGCGAGGCCTCCACAAAATCCCAAAACCCCTTTAGCTTGAAAGATTACGAGGCCTCGGGGACCGGGGCTTATAATACTATTAAAGGGGTCCCCGCAAGGCCTCGAGCCCGGACGAACCCTGGTTGTCTCTCTTCTTTCCCGTGAAAAGAATTTTAAGCCGCAGCTGGCTCCAAGTCCTCTTCATTCTCACTCTATTCAAAACATCACGACGGACCTCGAAGGGGCCTCGACCGCTTAAGATGATCCTGCAAAAGCTATTCTTGCTGCCGCAAGCTTTAACTTCAGACTTCTCGACGGGCCTCAAATAAGTCCTCGATGATCCTGAGCTTTCAAAGATTTCGACGGGCACGCGAAAGTCCTGAGAGAAGTACTCTGCGTGACATTGCAAGCTGATGTCGGTCTCCAGCGGGCAAGCAAACAAAATCACGCCCTGTTCAACTGGAGGAGGCCTCGGACCGGCCTCCAAAGGCTTGGAAGCCTTCAGCAAAGTCTGAGGCTCGAAGATGATGTTGCGTGTAAGCCAAGTGAACGCTCCCAACCACTTAAACCTCAACGTGCACTTCAATGGAGAAGACGAACTGACGTTCACAAGGCTTTCGCTGGCATCGGCCTTTCCCTATATCTTCTTCTTCGTTGGGCGCGTGGCAACTTAAGCTCCGGGCAGGCGCAACACGCTTCAATACCTCCACCGTCCAAACCCAAGCCCGCCACAAGTTCTGATTTCTGTAATGTCTAGCAGGCGACCTCTCTCTGCGCAACCACAGAAAACGTTGAAGCCACGTTGGTCAACTTCCCAGAGCTTGAAGCGTGACTCCTTTCCAAAAACAACAACGACCTGCAGCTCAGCGCCAGGACGAAGCCCAAGTTACGGGGCTGTCGGGCGACCCCACTTTCAAGCCCGCAAAACACAAGCAATTCTGGCTTCGCCAGCATGGGCCTCCGCAGTTGCAGTTCTGCCTCACTGCAACATTATAAAGACGCGCACGCTGCTGCTTCGGACCAGCCCCCCCGTGCGCTCACCACGACGCTGCCCAAAGTTACTGGAACAAGGGCAGGGGCGCAGCCAACGAGAGCCGGTTGCACGGGCGCAAATTCGGGGCCAAAAAACGGGGCCGTCTCGCGGCCCCAAAAATGGGGCCGCGAAATGGGCCCAGAGTTCCTGCAGTACAACTTGGAACTAAATACGGGGGTTGTGAAACCGCGACCCCAAAATTGAGTCCGCCTGGCGGCCCCAATTTTGGGGCCGCGAATTCTTCTATTTTTAGGCTCAATCTCGCGCTTTTTACTCGGGGCCCACAGACAAGCGCTCAAAGCGGAAAACTGAGAACCACGACCTCCGCAGGCAGCTTTCTTGTGGAAGTGAGCGATCTGGTCAACATGAGAGAAACGTGCACAGGGGAGGCCCACGCACGCGAAGCCAGAATTGTTGAGATTTTTCGACCCCAGATTTGGACTCGCGCAAACTGGCAACTTTTGCAAACATGTGTACGCGATATTGCAAGGCCTCTGAGGCCTCACCCTGCGGGGTTCGAGGCCTTCCGAGGCCTCCCGAGGCCTTCACTCATGGGGTTTCGAGGCCTTCCGAGGCCTCCCGAGGCCTCACTCATGGGGTTTCGAGGCCTTTCGAGGCCTCGCGAGGCCTCCACAAAATCCCAAAAC